GCCGCGCCCCCCAGCTTCCGGATTGGCTGCGCCACGTGCGCGACGCGCTGGCGGACGACACGGCGCCGCCATCTGCGCGCTACTTTGTGCTCAAGGTGGGGGCGGGGCGCCCATACGCACACTGCTTCGAGAAGCTGCTCTGCTGTAAATCGTGCTTGCGAAAGGCTTGGGTCTTGGGGTTTAGGCTCTGCTTGGCGCCAGGCGGTCCCGCTCCACCGTGCTGAGGTACGTGCATCGACCCTGTTATATGTCCTCATGGGGGGTGGTGGTGAGTGGTGCCCCACCTGGCTGCGTCTCAAACAGCCTGTCCCATCGCAGCACAGTCATCAGGTAACGTAGGCTGGGTGGCGGGTGGAGCGCCCCGCGCGGATGGCGGGAGCAACTGCGCTATTCTGGGGCCGCTGTCGCTGCCCCTAGCAGCCAGCCGTCCCGCAAAAGCGCACTTGCGCATGTGCCGTCGGACCCCAGATTCTGCAGAGTTGGATTTTATCATCCTCCAGGTCTTTTGTTCGAACAATTATCCGCAATTTTGCAGTCTTTGATGTGGAGTCATCATATCACAAGCCAATCTTTGAGGGGGCAACCAATCGCATCAGGATTGAGATCAGGATTGTTGCAGCGTCCCATGGTCAACACATCGTTGACCGATTCTCCCGGTATCGATACCCCATCAGCACCCACCACACCATCATCAATGTTCAGGCGATCCTCCAGATGGAGGCGCGCCGCGCCGCCGCTGCAGACAGCCTCGCGGCGCAGGCCGCCGCAGCAGCAGCCGACCCTGGGGCTACGCCGCCGCCGCAGCCGCCGCCGCAGCAGCAGCAGCAGCAGGCGGGGACGGGGGCGGGGCACGCCCTGGGGCCCAGCGTTTTTGCGGAATACGCGGAGGTGCTTTTCCCAGTCATTGTCGACCTCCTCCTCAGCACCGGGGGCGCTGGCAGCAACAGCAGCGGCGGCGGCGGCGGCAGCGGCGGCGGAGACAGGTTGGCTGGCGGCGGCGCCTGGACGGGGCCCAGGCCGGGGGCGGGGGCGGCGCCGGGCGTCCTGCATTACGTGTGGCGCGATGCGGCGCTGACTGTGCTGCGGTGGGACCGGCTGTTTGAAACGCCGCCAGGTGGGGCGCACATCAGCCAGGGGCTGCCAGGGGGCGGCGCTGCCGTACTGGGGGCCGTTGGGCACGTGCGCTGTTATGTGGGTTGGGGGGGCCCGCCAAGTTTCGCGAGGAAGAATCATGAGGTGACCTCAGTGGGAATCGACCATGGTGCACGCCTGCGTGGTTGTCAGCAGAGCTGGGCCCTGGCG